TAATTTACTTGTGTAAATGCTTCTGAAACATATTCAATGCAAATTTTGCAATTTCTTAGAATGTACTGTTTTGCATTTAGCATGTCACCCTTTTGCTTTAATGACAGCAGTGCTTGAGCTCCATGAAGTTTGTGGGAATAAATCTCAATGATCATGGTATTCAACATGATTTGAGAATGATACAAATCACATGCTTCAGTGAAAGCTAGAACATCCGATCTGAAAGCTCATTGACACAAATTGACTTACTTGATTAGTGACTTAGAAATTGTGCACAAACATTTAATTATTTCTTATGTTTTTTTTTTAAACACTCAAAACTTTCTACCTGTTCTATAGTTTGGTGTGCTCCTGACATCCCGGGCTAGAGGTGAGGATAAATGTAAAGGCAGACTTCTGTTAAAGGTGCCTGGAGAGGAATGCACACGTGTAAGGTTCCGGTGATATATTTTTTTCCGTACATCACAGCATTCACTGTGCTGCGGCACTCCCAGTTGATTACTGCATCGGTCATCATGCGGCGATTGAGACAGTATATGTAAGTCCTCTCTTGTTCTCTCTCTGTCTTTTCTCAGTGATCCAGAGGACACAGGCCGCACCGTGTGAAAAGGTACATTACAATGAGCATGTGAAAAAGGGCTCTGTGTGTTTGCGTGCAAATGTACATTTGTGTGTTGCTGGAATGTCTCCTGTGGCCATTGCTGTTGGTACATGGGGTGTGTAATCATAACAGTCTGAGTGTGGATGTGCTGGAAGAAAGAAGGTGCCGACTGGGATTTGCTCAAAGGCTTATGAGACATCACCGCCCACTGCCCAGGAACTGTGAGAGAGAAAGAGCAAATTAGGTTATTTTCTCATTTACACTGATTTTCTGGTCTCAAGATTAGTGAATGTTGTGTGTTACCTGCAAGAACAGGTGGATGCAAGGCAAAGACCGGCTGTTCATATCTAGTCCAGAGCATGGTGTGTACAGGAGATTCATCCTGAAGAAAAGCAGATTAATGTAGTTGCAATCAGGAATGAGCAAGTTTTAGGCTTAACATAGCATTAAAACAATTATTAAACAATTACAATGGACCCTTTTCACAACTATAGTATAGTAAATTGTAGAAGTATATGGGAGACCATAGCAAATATTTGTTTTGCATTCCCATTTATTTAAACAGAAAAAAATATGCTATTCCGCAAAAAACTGTATTTCCAAAACTTTCAGAAAACAAAAAAAGAGATGCATTAGCAACTCCATTGTAGAAATGCTGACTAGTTTTAATAAATTAATGACAGGGTGATAATACAAAAACAAACATAAATAAAGTGCTATAAAAATACACTGAATAATCTGAAAAATTATGTTTGCTAGATTTACTATATCAATAGTTTTCAACCATTTTATAATTAAAAATGATTTAATAATATAAAAAAATCAATTAAAACTTAATTAAAATGCTGAAAACACACACAAAAAAGTAAGATGTAAACTGAAATCTTATTTCTTTTTTCCCTGCAACTAGTTTTTTTTAACTGAAAAACATACAGAATCTTGAACCTTAGAGTCACAAAATCCTATAATCCCAAATTTGGGATTTGGGAAATATCAAATATATAAAAACTCCCAGTTCCCTTTCATGGGAACTTCGAACTGCGTCCTCTAGGGGTCGCTATGGGGAACACCTCGTCGTGACCCGTGTCTGAAGCATACATTGAAAAAACACCAACTCGTTGGCCGACGACAGCCATGACGTCACTACCGGTTGCGACTACAGTATAAATAGGCGCCGGGAGCACACATCATTCTCTTCTTCGTCTTCATTGACTGTTCTGTTTGAAGCATGCATTTCCAAGGAAAAAGTAAGAGCTATCTCTATTCATTATGGCGAGCACTAGCAGAGCATTTAGAAGGTGTGTGCATCCGTGTCATCGCTATTTGACACCATTGATTAGTGACTTAGAAATTGTGCACAAACATTTAATTATTTCTTATGTTTTTTTTTTAAACACTCAAAACTTTCTACCTGTTCTATAGTTTGGTGTGCTCCTGACATCCCGGGCTAGAGGTGAGGATAAATGTAAAGGCAGACTTCTGTTAAAGGTGCCTGGAGAGGAATGCACACGTGTAAGGTTCCGGTGATATATTTTTTTCCGTACATCACAGCATTCACTGTGCTGCGGCACTCCCAGTTGATTACTGCATCGGTCATCATGCGGCGATTGAGACAGTATATGTAAGTCCTCTCTTGTTCTCTCTCTGTCTTTTCTCAGTGATCCAGAGGACACAGGCCGCACCGTGTGAAAAGGTACATTACAATGAGCATGTGAAAAAGGGCTCTGTGTGTTTGCGTGCAAATGTACATTTGTGTGTTGCTGGAATGTCTCCTGTGGCCATTGCTGTTGGTACATGGGGTGTGTAATCATAACAGTCTGAGTGTGGATGTGCTGGAAGAAAGAAGGTGCCGACTGGGATTTGCTCAAAGGCTTATGAGACATCACCGCCCACTGCCCAGGAACTGTGAGAGAGAAAGAGCAAATTAGGTTATTTTCTCATTTACACTGATTTTCTGGTCTCAAGATTAGTGAATGTTGTGTGTTACCTGCAAGAACAGGTGGATGCAAGGCAAAGACCGGCTGTTCATATCTAGTCCAGAGCATGGTGTGTACAGGAGATTCATCCTGAAGAAAAGCAGATTAATGTAGTTGCAATCAGGAATGAGCAAGTAACATAGCATACATAGCATTAAAACAATTATTAAACAATTACAATGGACCCTTTTCACAACTATAGTATAAGAAGTATATGAAGTATATGGGAGACCATAGCAAATATTTGTTTTGCATTCCCATTTATTTAAACAGAAAAAAATATGCTATTCCGCAAAAAACTGTATTTCCAAAACTTTCAGAAAACAAAAAAAGAGATGCATTAGCAACTCCATTGTAGAAATGCTGACTAGTTTTAATAAATTAATGACAGGGTGATAATACAAAAACAAACATAAATAAAGTGCTATAAAAATACACTGAATAATCTGAAAAATTATGTTTGCTAGATTTACTATATCAATAGTTTTCAACCATTTTATAATTAAAAATGATTTAATAATATAAAAAAATCAATTAAAACTTAATTAAAATGCTGAAAACACACACAAAAAAGTAAGATGTAAACTGAAATCTTATTTCTTTTTTCCCTGCAACTAGTTTTTTTTAACTGAAAAACATACAGAATCTTGAACCTTAGAGTCACAAAATCCTATAATCCCAAATTTGGGATTTGGGAAATATCAAATATAGGGGGACGCCTCGTCGTGACCCGTGTCTGAAGCATACATTGAAAAAACACCAACTCGTTGGCCGACGACAGCCATGACGTCACTACCGGTTGCGACTACAGTATAAATAGGCGCCGGGAGCACACATCATTCTTTTCTTCGTCTTCGTTGACTGTTTTGTTTGAAGCGTGCATTTCTGTGGTAAGAGCGATCTCTATTCTTCTCATTATGGCGAGCACTAGCAAAGCGTTTAAGGATGTGTGCATTCGTGTTGACGTTGTTTAACATCTGATGACACACACGATCTATGCGTTATTTGTTTGGGCAAAGAGCACACACGTGATGCATCCGAGGGGGCAATCGGTGTGCACTGCGAGCGTTTTTTCCAAGGAAAAAAGCTCCGCTCTCGTTTGTCTCTCTTTTCGAGGAAAGAGGGGCAGCCATCTGCTTCTCGCGATTCAGTACCCGCCGCTGCTGGCGTAC